GCCAGGGCGGCGGCGCACAGGCCCCACGGCAGCCGCTCCCAGGGCACGGGCCAGGCGGGCCGGGTGGCAGAGATGGGTGGAGAGGCCTCCAGAGCCATCATGGTCGGGATCCACCTCTGCCCACCCGAGGCAGGGCTGTGGGCGGCCGTGGCCAAAGGGGCTGCTCCCCTCGCCCACCACCTGTCAGCTGGAGGTCACAGCAGGCCAGCCGGGGAGGGGAGGGGGGCTGGACCAGGGTCCCCTGACAGTGACTGAGGAAGGAGGGTGGGCTGACCTCCGGGAAGCTGGACAACTTTCTCACTTCACCTGCGTGGGCCAGAAGGGGTTCTCATCCCTGCCATCGGGACAGGGGACAGCGCTAGGTCCCACACCAGCCGGGGGACAGCCCTAGGTCCCACGCCAGCCGGGGGACAGCGCTAGGTCCCACGCCAGCCGGGGGATAGCCCTAGGTCCCACGCCAGCCGGGGCTGCGCTGCTGGCCCCTCACTCCCCAGCCAGCTTCCCTCGTGGCCTGATCACTGCCCACTGCTCACTGCCTTTCTTCATCTTCTTTTTTTAAATGGATATTAGGTGATGACATAAGTTTCACACACTTCACAGTATCCCACTGGTCACTGGTTACTCTCCTTTCCTGGGATTAAGAGAAGCTCATATCCAACAGATGGAGACCATGGGTTGGGCCCGATTCCACCTCGTCCCACAGAACAGGCCTGCCTGTGTGTCCTGCCGTCTGGTCATCCGAGGACCCAGGCAGGCGTGAGGGGGCAGGCAGGCACATGAGACCCGGTCTGGGGCTCGTGTCCTGCAGCCCTGAGGATGGGCGGCGTGGGGAGGGGACACACTGTGGTCAGGCTGGCTTGCAGCCGGCAGAGACGCCCATGGACTAGAGTTTTAGGCTGGGGCTTTGTGACCAGAGCTTGGCATGCTTCTCAATGCTAGGGAGGCAGGGGCCAGCTCCTGCCCCCTCGACCCAAGCAGAGCCGGCAGTGAGCTCCGCCTTAGTGGCCAGATGAGCAGCATGTGGGTCCCGTCAGAAGCTAGACAGGAGACCTGCGAGATCTGGATGCCTGTGGGGAGGCCCCCAGAGCACAGGCTGATCGCACACTCTCCCATTGTCCCTGGCAAGGGCCTCCTCCATGTGTGCAGTGTTCGGGCTCTGCCTGTATGTGCACGGCCCTCCTCCCTGCCCACCCCACGGGAGCTCAGGGCCCATTTGGGGGATTTTCAGTCTAGCTGAAAACTGGGCTACATGCCCACCGGAAGTACTTAAACAGAAATGTCTGCCTCCAGGCCCCTAGGGGCGGGGGGGGTGGGGGGGTCCCAGGAAGGCCCAGCTGCCGGACAGAGCCCGGGGAGAGGCCGTGGGTAAAAAGCAGAGACAGAGCCATGGCAGCCCAGCGGGCCCTGACGCGGGCACACGGAAAAGCAGGCACACACACGCGCGCACACACACACACACGCACACACACGTGTGCGCACGCACACACATGCGCGCACATGCACACACGTGCACACGCACACACATGTGCGCGCATACACACACAAACACACACACGCCAGGCGGCTGGAGGAGGGAGGGACTGACCTTGGTGATGGCTCTGGCGGAGGCTCCTTCCTGCAAGAAGACGAGAGGACGGCTGGTCACCACTCAGATGGCCCCAGGAGGGGCTGATGGCCAAGGTCGCAGACCCCCAGAGCCATGGCCCCCCCGACCCATGCTCCACAGTGGAGCTGCGTGTGCGTGGTGTGGGGGGGCGCTGCCTCTGCGGGGCAGGGCGGGTGGAGCCCTGCCTCCGACCTCCTCCCATGCAGCGCTGGTGGACACGTCTCCACAGAAGGCGTGCCCGTCTCACGGAGGTTCAGGAAGGAAAGGCTTGCTGAAGAACACGCCGGAATTCGTGGAGTTTCTCTCCTCTGTGTCATGGAGGGTGGACCGGCCAACCTCCCACTGCTGTGTCTGTTCCCCCCACCTCATTCTGCTGGTGAGGTTATTTTGGCCATTGTCTTATTTAGGGTTGACTATTTCTACTGTAATCATTATGAAAGTGATAAAAGATTGGTACTGGACCATACTTGGCTAAGCACAAAAAAACAGGGAGTGATCTTGTTCAGGCCCCAGGGACGGTGGCTCCCTGGTCAGTCTAGACCCTGAAGATAGTGGCTCCCTGGTCAGTCTCAGACCCTGGGGACAGTGGTCCCCGGCCAGTCTAGACCTTGGGGACAGCTCCCCCTGGTCAGTCTCAGAGCCTGTAGAGGGCAGCTCCAGTCAGTCTCAGAGCCTGGGGATGGTGGCTCCCTGGTCAGTCTCAGCGCCTGGGGATGGTGGCTCCCTGGGTCTCCTCTCTGGTGCACTTCCAAGTACTGTGTGCAACAGGACCGAGTCACTGTGTCAGTACAGCAAATGACAGCAGAGGAAAGAGATACGGGCAGACTCCCTGCTTGGCCTAGAGCTCCGAGAATGAGCCTAAGCCACCGGGCTCCGTTTACTGCTTCAGGAGCAATGTGCCTCAGAGGGCCAGGCACACGTGAAGGCCACACCTGTGCTCGGCTGTCCTGGTCTGGTCCCACCGCAGTCTGGCCAGCTGGCTGGGTGTCCAGAGCAGCCAGAGCAGCAAAGATGCTCACCGTGGCCCCATCTACCCCAGTGTGGTTCTGCAATCACCACAAACTTGGAAGATTTAACCTAAGAGGAATTTACTCTTTCTCTGTTCCAGAGGCCAGAAATCCAAATGGTCAAGGCAATTCTCCAGTTCACCAGGGAAAGTCCACCTGCCTCTCCAGCTCTGGGGGCTCCAGTCCCCTGTCCCTAGGGGACTCTCCTTTGCTGCCTGTGTCCTCAGAGACAGCGCAGTGTAGCTGTAGCTGGGACAACCAGGATGCCCTCACCTCCACAAAGGCCCATTTCCAAATAGGGTTGCATTCAAGGCTCCGTGTCAAAGGCTTGCTCCATAGACAAGTTCATGGCTGCGTGGGCCACGCTGGGGGGGGGGCAGGTTGAGGAAGTGGATCCCTGTGGGTGTGGCTTGGGTGGGCAGGTCTTGCCACTGGCCACCTCCAGTCTCTCCCTGCCTCCTGGCTGCCAGTAGGTAATCAGCTTTCCTCTACCATGATGCTCTGTCTCACCACAGCCTAAAAGCAACGGAGCCCAGCTGACCAGGGACTGCAACCTCTAAACCGGCCAGCAACTGAACTGCCATAACAAAACCCACAGTTGGCAGCTTAAACCACAGAATGTTACTCTCTTAGAGTCCTGAAAGCGAGAAGCCTGAAAGCAAGGGGCCACAGGCCGAACTCCTTCCCCAGAGGAGGAAAGGATCCCTCTTTGCGTTTTCCCCAGTCGCATGGCTCTAGGTGTCTGTCCCTGGCATCTCCACCGGACCGTCTGCAAAGTTCCCTCTCGCTGGGACGCCGTCACTCAACCCAGGGCCCCACGGGAAGCCCAGTGTGAAGCGGATGGTGACGATCCTGCTCAGTTCCACGGTGCAATGTCCAGACTCTGCTGAAGGCAGCCTGCTCTGGCCTCTCTGTATGCCCAGGGAGGACCGTTGGTCTGTGGCCACAGCGTCTGCCCCAGCCGGGGTCACTCTCCCGAGCTGCGGATGAGCCACCAGCAGGGCCTCCTCTATCCATCAGCCCTGCACTCCTCTGGAGACAGACATCTCCACCCCGTCAGCAACAATGGAAAGAGAGCCACACGAAGACCAGCGGCCAATCCCATCCCAGGCTCCCTGCCCTCTGGGGACAGCACCAAGGTTCTTGCTGCTCACCACAGGGACGTGGGCCCCTCATACAGCCTGAGCTCTCATCCCGCCCCACAGCTCCAACCCCGTCCTGGAACCACCATGCTGACCTGAAGGTGAGGCCAGATTTGCTCTTGAGGTTTCTCAGCAGCTCCAGCTGGTTGAGGGGTGGGATAAGTCTGGGGCAAAAGAAGGAGAGGCAGGTCAGCCTCACTCTGGAGGAGGGGGGGGGGAAATGTCAGGGGCCTGCGCCCCGGCCACGCCTCCCCACGTGGCCCCCAGGGCCTGGGGCCTGGGCTCAGACTCTGGCTCTGCCCAGCTCCCGGGCGGCTCAACTCTGTGCTGTTCCTGAGGCTGAGGCCTTGGGCAGGGCCAGCATGCACAGCAGAATCCAGGCTGCCACTAGATCCTAGACCTCCAGGCTGTGGAAGAGGGCATCCCCTCCCCTGCCCTCGCCTCCCCACCTCCGGAACATCCCCTCCCCTCCCCTCCCCACCCCAACACGGCCTGCCCCAGGCCCCCTCACTCCCACAGCCCCCCTCGCCACTACAGCCTGCCCCCGGCCCCCCTTACCCCCA